CAATATTGGATTATCACCGCATTTCACGTGAGGAGGTTTACATCCAGTGCAGGATATAACAATGATAGTCATGGACAATGTATTTTGTAATGAAATGTACAGTACAATATTATAGTACTATAGTATTTTTAATGAAATTCTTTATATATTTTTTATTTAGAAGGAACTACAAAGATTTTCGTTAGATAAATTACAAATAAAGTTAATGCGATTTTTATTTAACTTGGAATGCTATGGTAATTCATTCTAGATGCAAAAACACCATAGGGAGCAAACATTGTGACTGCTCTATCCACGTCCATATGTTTGTCCGCCTGTCTATGAACGTTAACTGTCTAATTGTTTGTCATTTTTAATCTTCATTATACATTTTCGATCAAATCAGAAAAGGTATAAATTGGATAGATTTTTCTTTTACACGCGTTTTTCGCTTTTGTTGAACACCAGTTTTCATAAATGTATAACCTTAAACAAAAGAACAAGAAGGATTTTTCGTTTAAGGCAACTATTCTCCGATATAATGCTGAAAAGAAATATAAATACATTTTGATGAGAATAAAACGTCTTTGACAATTCTTAGAGACAAAAACTCTTAGAGTTTAGCATATTGCGACAGTAATTAATATTGCATCTATTGTACATTTACAGTTAATTGTTCGTATATATAATGAATTTATTTGTTTGTTCAAAAGGTTCAATAAAATCATTATATAAAACAAACAAGAGAAATATTAATATATATCAAGCTTTACTCGTTATTAAGAGACTTCTTTAAATTAGATCAACAGGATCGTACATTCAACTAGCTCAGGGTGAAAAACACCAAAGAATGGGATTAAAGGCTTCAAAAAATCAACTGTAAATGTGTATAATTTTCTCATATTTTGGAGATCCCTAAAGGTAACAGTACCGTGTACTCCACTTACATTTACATCGAATCCAACAGTGTATGCAGTTCCTACTGTACCTGGAGACAAGAAGTATGTTTAAACTGGTCATATGCCATAAAGTTTATACCAACACTTTCTCTATTAGAAAAACGAGGTTCGCTCCTGAGCTTTTGAGCAGATTTATATCTTAACCTATATTTCAAAAATTCTGCATAAAGTTTTAATTCTTACAATAATTTTGGATTCTACAATGCCAATTAAACTATATTCAGTTAAAACTCCATGATTACATTCCATACCAAAAGAATAAAGCGAGGAACTATATTTTGTGGCGGAAGATTTTTTTTAGAAGAAAATGATCATTTTTTCTCTTTCCAAATATTTAAAGTATGTTAAATTTGAATTCCTATTTTTCCATGCAGTCTGCACACAGAGTTATTTTGTGCAGTTAACTGTTTTATACTGGTCCTAAATTACATATTAAATAAACTGTCATGAATTCTATCATCATATTTGATAAATATAGCAAATATATTGTGAAGGTCAAGAAAAAAAATATCCCCATTTTCAGCTTAAGATTAGAACTGTTTTAATTATATCTAAATATTAACATCACAGACCCCCACTTTTTATTTTCTTTTCTGAATATATAAGATACTTTTAACTATTCTTCTTAAATTCAGTAAAATGTCATTACTTTCAAATGATATTTTTGCTTGTTAAATTTTTAATACTAGAAAAAAGAATTTTTTTGAGTGCAAAAAGGTCAAATAATTGAACATGCGGAGTAATTTGAAAAAAAATTTCGTTGTCACAAATTTTAATGTGTCTATTCGAGATGAAAAAAGACTGTGTTTGTTCCAATAATTTATTTGAATAAAAAATATTGGAGGAAAAGCTTAAAAAAATTGATTTATGTGTAAGACGTATTTACAGTGCAAAAAGGTCAAACTAAATGCTCTGTAGCGCCAAAAGATGCACATTGACCCCCGTTTTTTGTTTTGATTTTTAATTAAGCTATATGTATAAATTCTAAAAATATACTTGATAAAAAAAATCTCATTACTTTTGATGGCAGGATCCAACCTCCTTAAGTATTTAACCAGTGCGGTAAATTGCCTCCGAAATAAAATCTATCAAAATCTTGATCACAAAAAATGTCATATCAAATATAAAACCATATTTTTCAGACATCTTTTTAAATTCATACCGCACAGCAAACATAAGTCTTAACTCTTCACCCTGTGATATTCTCCTGTCAGTTTTAGCACCTTCGTAAAACAGTAAGGATTTTTCTCCTAATCCTGGCACTGCTGATGGGAACATGGTATTGCAGAGTATTTTTTTGTTTTCTGACAAGAAGACTGTTCTATGCAGTGATGATAAATTAAACTCTATAGAATCTAAAAGAACAGAAGGAGAAAATAAAGACTGATCATAAATGAGAAACAAAATCAATCAGTTCTATTGATCAACTAATGCAACCGGAAACAATATACAAAAAGCCTTATGTGCCAAATGTCTGTTTTATGCGTTTTTCTATACATTACATTATATATAAAACTTTTGTAGGATAATATAAAATTTCAAACACATGACTTGTAAAACCCTCCAAATACGTTTGGAAACTTTAGATATGATCCTCTTTGATGTTTATTTTATTTGATTTTTACTTAATTTTTAAACTTTACATAACAATTTCAAGTTTTGGATGATTTATGCCTCCCCAATATTGCATCTACTGAATAAGTTTGAGAATTGTATTTCTCAAAGTGTGCGAGATATAATGCTAACAAAATTTGTTAAAGGAATAGCCATAAAATTTTAAAATAAGGCCAACAAGGCTTACTCTGAATGTAATACAACGTCTCTCAAAATTCATAAGCTGATAAGGTTTGGTGATTCAAAAAATATTTGCCACTTTCTAATATTTGCATGTATAGTCATAGAATTCCAAATATCCCTTCTCCCCTTTCCAGAATTGATGTTGCTAGGCTTCGTATTTGCAAAACATGGAACGGTCAGACAGGTTGACAGAAAACTTATTAGATACTTATCTTATTAGATACATATGAATTATCAAAGGCCTTTGTTTTTTTCCTGTTTGATACCAAAGAGTTGATTATCTCATACACTATCAGCTAAAACTTACATGGCTGATGATATTTCCATTTCTTATTGACAAATTTTGACAATTTGAAATAAAAAAAATTCAAACTTTTTAGATTTATGTCTTATAAAGTGTTATCACAGGAAAGTGCAGATTCAGATTTTAAAAAAAAATATCTTTTTTGGATTTCCTGCTGTAAAGTAATTGTTAACTCATTATCATTAATTCATTTTGTTACTGTTTTATGGATATAGGTTCTTCTTCTTAGGCTCAAGAAATATATGTTTTTTCAACATATTTTACCTATTTAGAGTGTATAATTACAAAAAGAGCATCTATATAACAATTTCTGACTTCTTTTGATTTAGATTTTACACTAGAGAGTTTTCAAATAATTTCATGAGAACCATTATGATTTCAATTGATTTCTACATTTTTATCTCTTCTTCTAAAAGGTATATTTATCAGAAATCCTTTCTGGCGATTATTGAACCAAATTAGTTTTTTTTTTCATTATTAGTTTTTGAGCACAATAAGACTATGTAAGCTACGTTCATTCTTGAGAACAGTGAAAATGTCAATTGCAGTAGAAATATGAAATTTATATATAAGGGTCTTGACTCTTATAATAAACCAACTCTATTTGTGCAGAATAGTAGTGCAATTCAAATAAACTTTTTAAAATCTTTTCACATTTTTTTCAAATGAACAAATAAAATGTAAGGTTTATTTTCATGTATGTCGACTAAATGTAAAATTTTTGAATAGGATATTACCTTTTACTAATAATGATTTTAAGGTGTAATATCCCTCTGATAAGAGAGATAACTTTTTAAGGAATTTATTCCAAGCAATCCAATGAATTATCTTACCAGAGTTTAAAAATGAGGACCATTCCATAGTCAAATCATTCAAATCTGAACTATGTTACAGATATTGATTTCTATTTTCTATTGCCAGATTTTTATAAATTACTTATAATAATTAACATAAAACATTTAAAATCAACTGCAGAATTTTTATAATCAATTAATTAATATTTGTTTCACTAAAAAATATTTTGTTTGTTTGTTTGTTTGTTTGTATGTTGTTTAACGTCCCTCTCGAGAATTTTTCACTCATATGGAGACGCCACCACTTGCCGGTGGAGAGCTGCAAATTTTGTCCTATACTCGGCACTTACGGCCATTGAGCAGTGAGGGATCTTTTTCGTGCCAGCACCTACTGCGACACGGGACCTCGGTTTATACGGTCTCATCTGAAGGACCGGTCTCCACGTCCCACAGTGGGATTCGAACCCGCGACGTAAGGATCAACTCCTTACGCCGCGACTCTAGAGCAGACGCTCTAACCACTGCGCCACGCGGGCGACAAAAAATATTTTGAAAAACCCATGTAGATTTATGTATTTTTTCCCAAGCAGTAAAAACAATGAGATATTCTGATTTAATAAGCAACGCTTTATTATGTTTTCTAATGTGAATTAGATAGGTATGATAGTAAATATTATTATCATATATACCTCATTTTTTCAATTTTATGGAGAGATAAAAAAAAATTACTGATCTTTCTATTCACCATATCAGATTTTCTCTATATCATGATTAAACAATATTCATTTCTGAAAAAAGTAAGCAACGCTTCATACTTCAAACTATTTTCCATTTGAATCTAATGCTATTATTGTTGATAAAAATCATTGTTGAGAATTTAAAAAAAATTGTGAAATTTGGAGCAGAGGGCTATTTCACCATAAGTCTTTCCACAAATAAACTTATCAATATCAAAAGTTTTTATTTTGCTTGTAAGAATTCTTTAAAATCAATATGTGATATCTGTTTAAGTACATGTATGTAAATACCTGTGAAAAAAATCTTATCAGGTAGCTATTTGTTTATTTAATCATGCGGTCGAGGGAATAGCAACGTACTGAAGTATTTCATATATTTTAGTCCAAAAGAAGGTTTTCAGATTATTGCTGTCGTTTGTGTTTTAAAATGTAAAAAGAGGAATCTTGAAAGCGTTCATTAAATATTTGAAATCCATTACATTTAACGGAAACTGCTACTTTCACTTCTTTCGGATTGGCTTTCATGACATCAAATTACGTGCCATTGCAGAGTGATTTCTAAGGAAGACTTCCTTTTGTCATTTTTAGAAACAGTTTTGTGATATCTGTATGTTGATGTGTATGGAACACATTACCCATGAAGTTTTCTCTGTGCATTTGATGAAGTCCTAAAGATATGACTGTCTGGCACATCAACATTATTTTCTTTCTTACACTTGTTGATCTAGGTAATTATTATTAGTATCATCAGGATGATTACTGTTATTACATAACATTTCTCTTTATTCTCTTTTTTGAAAGAACGAAAGTATACGATATGTCAGTTTTCTACGATTTGTGGAGAAATACATGTATGCTGGTTAATTGTTGCGGTAAATTTACTTTTTTGGAAATGCTAAAAATTTCTTTTATATATATATATATATATATATATCCTCAGATATAGAAAAATCATAATTATTTATTTTCTCCTGCCTATAGTTAACTCGTTTAAAGATTATTAAGTGTATGTGTCTTTTAAACATGTGACATTCAATTATAATTCATTTCAGACTAAAGGCAGAATAGACAGAATGAAAACAAAAAAAAATGTTTGAAATTGAATGATAAACATTTATTTGAATGTTGATATCTTCTACTTAAAATGAAATTCAATTTTTGTTGGAAGGCCAAACATAATTGCATAACACAGGAGTATAAGCATGTACAAACATTTTTTGCTGAATTTAAATGGTCTACTTATCCTTATCGAAACATGTTTCCTTTTATATAATTGACTACCTCACGGATATCTCCAGGTTACTGGTAGCAATCCTTGATTAACGATTACCATGCCATAAATAGAAATCAATCAATATTATTCAATTTGTTGTTGAAAAGAGCCATAGCTGCCTCTCCGACAACACGGCCGACTCAAGAATTTAAAAGGAAATCACCTGATTCTATTTATAGATATACCTTTTCAATTCAAGATCAAAGTGGCGTATCGAGCAAAAAAAAAAAAAATAAGAGATTGAATGAAGATAAACGTGATATATGCTTTTTACGTTCAAATAAAAAATTTCACCGATTTTGAATTTGAATAACCTAATGTTTCCATAGTTAAATTGATTTTAAACTGTGTCTGTTAATTAAATGCGGAGTCGTTAAAGAAATCGGATATTGTATTAAATTTCTAATATCTTTGAAACGTGATTGATTTTAATTGTGTAATTTACAGGAAAGTCCTATCTTTATATAAAGTAATAAAACAAATAGAAAGATCTTTTTAATTTTAGTTAAATACGCCATATATGACTTTAATAAAATAGTTTAGGGCTGTCTTTTCCCGAGATACTTTCAAAGTGTAATGTGTATATTATAACTTTCTGAAATTATGCATATTGTAAAACGTAATAAAGAGAAACGTAGAAAAGATACACAAAGAAAAAAAAAAGAAAAAAAAAGCATAAATGGAAAAATGTGGGGCTCGAACTCGCAATCACCATATTTACATTCGAGCAATCATACCACTGCGCCAACGAAGTCAATGACGTCGAATGGGTAAATTTAAGACAGATTGCTAAATCTTACGATTATATGAGAAGAAAATTTGAATATATATTCTCATCATTTTCAATATGAAGACCACCTTTAACCAAAATTATCTAAATGTAATGAAGTGCAGTCATATCCAAATAAAATTATCCAAAATTTGTTTTTCTGGTTAAGGGTGGTCTTTGGCAACAGCTTGTCATCTTTAGGTGGATACCTCAATATTTACTATACACTCCATACAAACAATTTTCATATTTATCATATGAAGGAACTATTAATATTGAAATATCATTATTGTGTGGTTTGATTTGACGTATGTATAAACTAATATTGTATGACAAAATTTTGGTTAAACAATGAATTTAAGAAATCACTAGTAGAGTAGGCGAAAATGCCTATCAAATGCGCTATGGCTCTTTGTATCCCTTGTGACAGAGATCGGGCTCGGGATGTCCTTATGCATTACGTCAGGCGGACTTTATCGTAGTGCGATACGATAGCGGCCAAGGGTAGTCCGGGTATATATATGACCGTTCTGTAAAAAGCTGGTAGTTGCTAGTCGGAGCTCAAACGAGAAGGTCGACAAAGGTGTAATTTCACGGTGGAGTGTAAAGACCGTTATAGTACAGTATACGGTGTCTAATATACTGGGTTCATAGTATTTGAGGGTTAATAAAGTGGTAAATACTTTCCACAGTATTATTACTATTAAGATATGTCTGTGTATGTAGGACAGAAACCTCGGTGACCCGTACTGTCCTGGGATAAATATATCGAGGACATAGACCTGTCCGCGTACAGGACCATTCCCGGATTTGAGACCCGTACCTGTCCTGGTACTGACACATGCAGGACACAGACCTGTCCCTGTGCGAGACCCATACCATTATTGTTTACAGAAGGTGTATGCTTTTATGTTAGGGATAGGAAATCCTATTATTATATCTGTATTCATTGACTCGTTCATTTTCACATGCTTTGTCACTTATCATTTCTAATCATTTGCTAGAATTCGTTGGTCCATCTTTAGTTTATTTAATCATTTGTTTAATTCATTGTCTTGATTAAGGATCAATACCATAATACACGGACCCAAACATGTTACAACATTAAATCTTCTGAGTATTTAACAGATGTAGGTCAGTCCTAAATTAATAAGATTCAAATAGTGTTAACATAGTTTTGTTATATTTAGCAAATAAGTTATTTTTCCTTTCAAAAGGAAGGCAGAAGCCTTCACAAATGTTATAATGGCACACTGTACGCAAAGGCGTTAGTTTATTATTTATATTGGAAACATTGTACCATCTGAAATCTCTTACTATCTTGAGGAAAAGCACCTGTTGTGAATTTTGTATTTAAAAATAACCAATTAGTTTCTAGGTACATACATTTTATAAATTCTGTTTGTATTTATGTTTTAAAAGGTGCCCTGTTGGGAGTTATAAAAGAAGAACAAATAGGAGTTGGTTTTTGTCACAACGATACTAAAAGGATACAAGTTAACATAGATTGTAATTTCACATGTATCAGGGTGACTGTGAATGGTAACTCGAATGAAATTGAAAACTGTCATAATTATCATAATGGAAATGTTAGTTGTGTAGAGTCGGGAATGTATAATGAAACCTGTGGATTTGTTGAATATTCTTTCACATTTAACCATACAAGACACGCTGGAGAGATAATGTGGATAAATTATACATGTATCAACAGATCAGATCAGAGCAAAAACATCACACTATATCCTTGTCGTAAGTACACGTCTTTTTCTTGTAGGTAAATAGTTCTTGAAGAGGAGAATTCAAAGAAATAGACACTGACTTTTTTTTTTTTTTAAATATTATGCTTACTTTTGTTTTTTAAGAGTTAAGAGTTTTGATGCTAAGATTTCAAACTTTCTATCAACATTGTGTTTGGATACATGAAATTTAAACATCTTTTTCATTCCTGATTTTCAGTTTCAAGTTTTAGAGCAAATGCCACGCACAATACCACACATGCATTCATTGTGTGCAAAAACATTTTCTTCAACATGTCCAAGGAGATAAGTATTTTAAATGCAGCAAGTTTGGACCCGATCGAAACATGCAGGTGGAACTTGAATACATCATCAACTCAATGCCATGTTCAAAATCACGGTACTTTAACAATAAACTCAATTCTTTTTTTTTCCTAACTTTTGGAAAAATTATTTTTTCTTAAATGCGTATGAAATGTTTCAGAATCATAAAAAATATTTTAAAAGAAAAATTTTAGCTGATATACTTCTCTTTGAATACGGGCAAATATGAGACAAACCAGTGCTGAAGATACCGGGAGATCTTGCACACTCATTATTCAACATGTTTGCAATGATTTAACGAGGTTCGCTCCTGAGCTTTCGAGCAGATTTATATCTTAACCACTATTTCAAAAATTCGGCATAAAGCTTTAATTCTTACAATAATTTTGGATTCTACAATGCCAGTTAAACTATATTCAGTTAAAACCCCATTATTAAATTCCATACCAAAAGCATTAAGTAAGGAACTATATTTTGTGGCGGAAGGTTTTTAAGAAGAAAATGATCATTGCGTGGACCCTGAGGTCCACGCAAAAAATATATTAGCGGAGTTAAACCGGATGCCATGGGCTTACGTCAGGCTACGCATGCGCGAGGATGCTAGAGAGTTCGCCTCTAAGTTAACTTGCCCGTAGAACAATTCGCCCTCTTCGAATTAGAATATGCCAATCATTGGCGAACTTCGCTCTAAAATCTGCGCATCGTATTTATGTATTCTTTGGCGTAACCAAGATCTGAATTTCTCTTTAATACATATATCCTTATATACAAACTAAATTTTATGGTACAAGCATTTTAAATAAGTAGGAAGAACTTATAGAGATAGCTTAACAGCTTGAACATGTTGAATTAAAACCACTCTAGGTTTTAAAAGATAGTCTTTGCCATGTTTACCGGCATTAGTTTTGTGCATAAGGTTTGCAAAATAATTTGATAGACAGCAATCCAAATATAGCTTGATAAAGGCCTGTAGCAATGTTTTTTCCATGTGGGGGAGAGGGAGAAACATCTCCAAAAAAAATTCTGCGTACTACAGATCTGTGCTACACGTGTACCATCTATCTTTCCAATGATAGGATACTTCCGTATAAATCTAGTACAGATGTCAAGTCCCAGTCGTTAAGCATTACATGTATCGAAATAGCCCGATTTTTTTCAGTTAAATGACAGAACTATAGGCCAATCGGGAATAAAATTTAACAACTTTGCTGTGAAAGTACAATCACTCAGAGTAGGCAGATCATTGTAGAAAATGTTAACGAAAGGTAAACCTTGCCACCTTTCAGAGTAACCAATGAACTCGTCCATGGATGCATTGACGGTCGTTGTAACAAGAATAGATATGGGTTTCCCCATATCCAAAATATTCGACTTTTAATTTACTCCAATTTTCACTAGAAAAAAAAAACTGTACATGTTATGAAACTGGTGTATAGTTCTTTATGTCTGTAGCAAATACCGTCACCAGTCTAAGCGTCACTAGCAAACAGTACACACACCTGTGCTTGCAAGACCAAATAGCCTAGGCAATGGCGGATTTAAGGGGGCGCACCCGGCGCCCCCCCCTAAAATTGTCAAAGTTAGCGTAAATCATAGTTTCGTCGAGAAAATGTAAAAATGTCTTCTCGGTAGACCTCATTTTTACCCTTCAAAATCTTTAGAATCGAGGAGCTTCCGGGAGCTTCGCCCCCTGGACCCCCAACAGGGCTTCGCCCTGGAGCCACTGGGGGCCTCAAGGCGGCCCCCAAACCCCCTGCCCACTTCTTGCGCCCCCCCTCCAACTTCAAATCCTGGATCCGCGCCTGCTAGGTCTACACACGTGCGATAAGATTGTCAATCGCATCTTCTCAGACCTTCTGCCGAGAAGTTACGATTGCAGGTGTTGTATATTAACCATTCCGTTATTTAAAAGAGACAGAGAGAAAAAAACACACACAAAATTAATCTTTTTTTGTGTTTTTAAATGATCGAGTTAATCGATAACTTAGCATTAATTGTTTAAGATAACTCGAGACCCTTTAGTAAAGGGGGGGGGGGTTCTAGGTCACACCACAGGCACTTACATTCAAGCCCGTAGCAACGGTTTTCAAAGGGGGCAACCTCCAAAAAGAGTTGACAAGCAGAAATAAATAAATAAATTAACAACCTGTGCACCACCCTGTAAAATCCTATGGGGGGGGGGGGGGGGGGGCTTCGTCTAACTTTTCGGTACATTTTGATTTCTTTTAAATGTTTGATTTTCTGTATTTTGAACCTTTCCGCAACAAAAAGTGCGAGGGAGCTTCCAATGCAAATTAAAACTTATATATTCAAATTCTAACAAAAGATTTTTTGTAAGAAAAAGTGAGCCCCCCCTCCCCCACATACTACGGGGCATTTTGAACCTTTCTCTTCATTGATTAAAATATCCCCATAATATAAGGAGATATATATTGTCCTTTACAAAAATTTTGATATTTCTTAGGCACAAAATTTTGTACAAATTTTGCATAAGAAATATCAAATTTTTTGTAAAGGATAATATTCTCTCATGGATACTCCCTTTCATGACTTTTTATGCATACTTCTTAAAGTTAGTTACTTTAGAAGATGGTCCAAAAATGGCATAGCCGTACGCTCGTTCGCTGGAATCTTCCGATCAAAGTGAAATATTTCATGTTACATGTGGGTGGTCGAGGCCCGGAACCGGTATTGTGAAGGTACACGGAGGAAGCAATAAGCAAAACTCTATCTAGAGAACAGAAAGGGCAGAGATTGAAGTACTTAATATTTTATTGAAAATACTAGATATATATATATATATATATATATATATATATATATATATATATATATATATATATATATATATATATATATATATATTACAGAATAAACACTCTTTCTGCAAAGATATAGGGGGTTCCAACACCCGACCCCCACCCCCCCCCCTCCCTGGATACACCAATGGATATTACGATACCTGCACGCTTAAGCTTCTTTTAATTCTGTTGTTAATTTTAAAGGCTAAATTACAATTGTGATAGATACCTAGATCAACATTTCATATTCATATCATTTCAAGGTCATGATTTTTCTTATCATTACAGCCTATTTAAGCAGACTTAAATAACGATGAAAATTAGAAGAAAAAAAAAAGATTAAACTTAATTACACCTTTGTAAGCTCACTAAATCTAGAAATTTTCTTCGAATTTCATTTCGAAACACATGCAAATGGTCCACGTATTGCAGTCCTTTTTTAAAGGACAGCAACTTGTTTTTTCTCTTTCGAAGTATTTAAAGTATGTTAAGTTTGGATTCTTATTTATACATGCAGTCTGCACACAGTTATTTTGTGCAGTGAACTGCTTTATACTGGTCCTAAATTATATATTAAATAAACTGTCATGAATTCTATCATCATATTTGATAAATATAGCAAATATAATGTGAAAATCAAGAAAAAATATATATAAGATACTTTTAACCATTCTTCTTAAATTCAGTAAAATGTCATTACTTTCAAATGATATTTTTGCTTGTTAAATTTTTAATGCCAGAAAAATGAAATTTTTTGAGTGCAAAAAGGTCAAATAATAGAAAACGCGGAGTAATTTGAAAAAAAAATTTTCGTTGTCACAAATCTTAATGTGTCTATTCAAGATGAAATAAGACTGTGTTTGTTCCCATAATTTATTTGAATAAAAAACATTAGAGGAAAAACTTTAAAAATTGATTTATGTGTAAGATATATTTACAGTGCAAAAAAGGTCAAACTAAATGCTCTGTAGCGCCAAAAGAAGCGCACTGACCCCAATTTTTTGTTTTGATATTTAATTAAGCTATGTGTATAAATTCTAAAAATATACTTGATAACAAATTTTCGTTACTTTTGATGGCAGGATCCAACTTCCTTAAATCTTTTTTTCATTGAAAAGATAATTTTATTAAAAGTTATTAATAGCCCTGATACAAGTGTTAATTAAATAAATACTGTTAAATATAATTCTTTCCGTAAGAGTGCGTAACAATTTTCTATTGAAATCCAACTTTAAACTGCAATTGAATTTTGAAATACTCATGGATATGGATAAATGACCTACCAATTTTTCAGTCAATTTGAACATATATTTGACAAAATGATTTAAGAAAACTTAATAGTTGTATATTATTTGAAGTTGGTCACTCATGTTAAATGACAATTTTCAGTCTAAAAACATATGTACATCCGCCGGTGAAACAACAAAAAAATTGGAAATGCATTTGCAAAAGGACAATATTTCTAAAAAGAGAGTTGTGTTTCATTGGGGGGGGGGGGGGGGTTAGAAATGCTTTCCTTTTTTCAATAAAATTAAAAGTATATACTCTATGATTTCCCAAATAATTAATGCTTTGTGAAAATTCATATAAATATCTATACACATATGAGAACTCATTCAAAAGTTAACTTTTGAAAATTGACTTGGAGGTAGAAAGCAGTACAATACTATCGTTTGCAGTTCTTTGATGCTTCAGTGCGAGAATTCTCAAACAGTTTGTGGACTAATGCGACTGAAATTCATACTATGTAGTCGTTGAAATATCAAAAAATTCAAAACTTCCTCAATACAGTTTTTTAATGAAATTCCCTGGAGTAAAGCGATGACTGGATCCCTTCCTGTGTATATGTGTATACATAAGAAGGGTCCTTAAGGATGGATTCTTGTCTGGTTTCTGACTAGATGAAATAATCAAAGTATATTTTCTTATATGTCTTGTATATTTAGATGTAAGGGCTTTAAAAGATCATGTTTTCTTTCCTCATCATAATTGTACAACTTTTAATAGAAATGGTAAACTGAGTTTGAAATCTAGCAGGGACTATATTTTTGGCGGAACTGCGGCGTATGGAAATATCTCCTTTTCTGCTTCTCAAAATTATTATAGAACAATGAATTTAGTTAAAAATTTTCAAACAATCAAAGACTTTAGGAAAATTTCAAATGCAAGTAAAATTTATAATAATGGACTGAAGTTTTGAAATATATCAAATAAATATGATTTTCCAAACAAACTACAATTTTGTTAGGTTTTAAAAGCTTCCAATCTAAATATAGATTTGTGCAAAAAATCCATAAAAAGTGGTTTTTCTCTCTTAGTAAACGGTCAAAACTTTTTTGTTTTTGTATCAATTTGTATCTTTATATGACTACTTTACTATATGTGAAAATAAGAAAAATTTAAATATACGAAGCATATAAAAATAACTAATATAACTAATATATCTTAGAAATCTAGGAAAAACAGAGGAATTCGGATTAGCCAATATCTGTTTTAGTTTAATTACTTCTGTCAATTTGGTAGCATCATCGAATAGACCCAGTATGGTAATATCTTTTGATGCAAAAAGAAAAACATTTAATCTTTTGAAATAGAAGTAGGCATGGCATGCCTGGCAACAGTAATTTTTGTGCCCCCGGATCGAAAGATCCCGGGGGTATATTGTTTTTGTCCTGTCTGTCTGTTTGTCTGTTTATCTGTTTGTCTGTCTGTCTGTATTTGTTTTTTTTTTTTGAATTTTTGAATGGTTGGTGCTAGGGCTTTCATACTTCACATATGTAATCCTTGTGACAAGACCCTCCTTTGGATACCAACCACTTTGACCCTTTGGATTTTGACTTGCATTTGAGAAAATTTAACTTTCGCCTTAAGCTGCCATACGGGGGCATCAGTGTTTCACAAACACATCTTGTTTTATTCTTAAGGTCAAGGAAAAAGATAATGACCTTGAACAGACCTTGCTTTTAAAATAAAACGGTCAAATTTAATCTAATTGATATCATCACTTAATGATATTGTCTTCTTGAATCTATGAAAATTTCATTAATTTTTAAATACAAGAAATATAAGAAGAATCCCTCCTTAATATAAACATAGAGAAAGATCCTCACTTGATAATGCCAGCACGATTTGATTGTCAGAGTTCAATGTCTACCGCACTTTTCAAGGTGATTTACTTTGGACACTCGTTTTACAAATCGATATTAAGAGTGCGTATCCCCTCCCTCTGAATCTGTTTTGGTATTTCCAAACATGTATCCTGGATGTGTTTTATTTCTTTGTAGCCTGTTAAACATTTCTTATGTCTATATCTTTTTTATTCAAGGGATGAAATGTAGAAAAAAAATGTGGGATATATGAAAAATACTGATACCAAAATATATTTTTCTCCATTCGTATCTTGATGTTGCACCGCTTGATCATACCATTGCTTACAAAAAACATAAAGGATTTCTTTAAAGATAAGACTTCATTGTTTTATATTCTGAAGATGAAAAAGCTGATGCTAATAAAACGTGTAAAAAAATATTAATGCACCTCAAGCGTTTTTTTAATTTAATGCGCTTGTCCACGATTATTTTATAACCCCTCCCTAGCATTTCTTTTCCTGACAGAAGTCTCCACCAACTTCACTCATATGTAATATAATGTTCTTCAGATTTTGTCATTTTCAAGAAATATCCTTTGATGTCTTGTATTTCCAATAATGCATTAAACTTTGCATGCAATACATTTTATTTGAAATTTTATTTTAAGGTTTACACTTTTGAAACCTTATGTTTTTTAAAACATTTCTAAAATGAATAATGTATGTCTTTCGTGTTTTGGTCTTTTTCCTATGCGTAAGTCACATGATATAAAGTCATAAGATTCATAACGCAAGACTCCATTTCATATACTAATACAATCCCGTGAAACTGTTTTTCGAAAATGTTTTTTTTATTATTTGTAGTTCTAAGCACTATGTTTGACAATCTATTTGAGATAACTAACATCAATTTCAGCCCT